TCTGCGACCCTATGGACTGTAGCCCGCCAGGCTCCTCCATCCATGGGATTCTCCAGGCAAGAATACTGGAGCAGGTGGACATTCCCTTCTCTAGAGCATCTTCCTGACCCAGAGATCGAATTGGGTCTCCTGGACTGCAGGCAGATTCTCTACCATCTGAGTCACCAGGGGAATATTGCCAATATTTTTTAATGCCCATAAATGAGGTATAACTTTTAAAAACTGCAAATCACTACATTGTACACCTGTAATTTATATCATGTGTGTGTGTGTGTGTGTTAGTCCCTCAGTTGTGTCCGACTCTTTGCGACCCCATGGACCCAGCAGGCTCCTCTGTCCATGGAATTCTTCAGGCAAAAATACTGGAGTGGGTTGCCATTCCCATCTCCAGGGGATCCTCCCAACTCAGGGGTTGAACCCGGGTCTCCAGGGTTGCAGGCAGATTCTTTACCATCTGAGCCACCATGGAAGCCTAGCTTATATCATACTGTACAGCAATCATTTCTCAATTTTTAAAAAGATCCTCCCAAGTCCTCTGGGTCCAGCTGGACCTGCTCGTCCCGAGCCTCCTTGTTCACACCCACTCTGCTGGCGTCCAGCTCTCCTTCCTCTCATTCCTGCCTCTTTGAAAATACCACCTGGTCTCACCCTGGTGTTGTAACTCGGCAACCTTGAATTGGCTAATGACCCTTTGGTTTCCTCAGCTGTATTTGGATTTCTCAGGCGGCAGAGTGGTAAAGAACCTACCTCCCCATGCAGGAGGTGCGAGTTCAATCCCTGGGTCGGGAAGATCCCCTGGAGGAGGGAATGACAACCCACTCCAGTCCTCTTGCCTGGGAAATCCCATGGACGGAGGACTCTGCTGGGCTACAGTCCTGGGGCCACCAAGAGGCAGACGTGACTGAGCGACTGAGCACACGCAGACAGGAACACGTTACCTCCACCCCCCACCTTGTTTCATGAGCATTAAACCAGAGGATAAGCATCTACCTCATGCATACCTGGCATGAGTCAGAGTTAGCTGGTGGAGTATTTGGGGTACATCACACATTTGGGGGGACATTTCCATCAATGTAACTACATTCACCCTAACTGATTAGTGACGCCAGAGACACGTGGGTTGCACAGTCATTTTCCCCACGACCCCACTTCCTCCACAAACTCTTCCATGAAACAGTTGCCTTTGAACTGTCCCCTCTCGAGATGCCTCAGTGTATTTTTCCATGAGGCACTGAAATAAGTGTAGCCATTCTTGCCATTAAATGCTCTAAATCAGTTACTGATTAAGAAATGCCTGCTCTGAAGGGAACGCACATGTTCACGTAATTTTGCACTAACAATATCATTTACCCAGAATGAGATGTTCAATGTGCTCTTCAACTCTGCGCTGATAACTCGAGGAGGGGAAGGACCGCAGGGACCAGCGACGACGGGTGTCCCCGCAGGCCCTGCCTGCTCGCGTGTCCCCTGAGCTGGCACTTCCTGTCCTCTACTTGGAACTCGATCCAGCGGACACAAAGGCTGAGAACTTGGGCAGAGTCGTAGACCTCTCTTCCCTTCGGTGTCCTCACCCACAAATCAAAGTTACGTCTACCTCCAAGTGGGAAGGAGGGGGCGTTAAACCAGACGACCTCGGTAACGTTGACTGAGCTCCTCACACACTGTCAACTTTCAGTAAAGAGGAGAAATCTGTATATTTAGAGCGCACGTGGCTCAGTTCTTTCATCTTTTTTGAAGATCTTACAATCTGTTGTACAGATGAAGATCTCTGATTCCGAGTCCAACCTTTCACTGTTAAATAGATCGACTACTCCTCTATGTTATGCAAGCAGGTGATATTTGTAGACCCTGACATGTTGTTACTAAAGCACACATGAGACTTCCCTGGTGGTCCCCTGGTTAAGAGTACCCCTGCCAAGGCAGGGGACACAGGTTCGATCCCTGGTGAGGGAAGATTCCACACGCCGTGGAGCAACAACTGAAGCCTGCGTGCCCAGCACCAGTGCTCCGCAACAAGAGAGCCACTGCGATGAGAAGCCGCGCATTGCAACTAGAGAGTAGCCCCTGCCCGCGGCAACTAGAGAAAGCCCACGCAAGGCTAATAAATAAGTCCTAAAAAATAAAGCACGCGTGGAAGAGTTTAAGTATATTTAAGATTAATTTTGAAATATAGCTACTGTATTTCATAAATTCAGCTTAAAAGAAAAAATGAAACCCTCCAAATCTCAAAAGTGAATGAAATACTCTCACTGGCTGGCTAATGCAATCTATCTTTTAAAAATATAAATGATCAAAAACAACAGCAAAATATGTTTAAGGATACCATCATCAGAATTCCGGCAACAAGGACAGTTGGCCTTTCTCTGACTGGTGACTGACTGACAATCTCACCACAGTTTCTGAAAAAGTCCCATATGGCAGAGATCTCCCTTTTCCTCAAAATAACAACAGGGAGAAGTAAATCTGGATGAGCGAAATGGGAAAATAGTGCTGAAATCATTCATACATGATGCTAAAAATCCTACCTTGGGGTGGCAACCATAATTTAGTTCTCAATAATTCAGTGCTACCCTGTATCCGTAAACCTTCAGAAGAGGTCAAGCTACATGTTTTTGTTCCGAATAAAAATTGTATGTATTTGGGGCCTATACCACAAAATGATATATAGAATAATTGCTATAGTCAAGCTAATTTACACATCTTCTCCCCACACAGTTACATTATGCTGTTGTTTTTGAGATGAGCACCCAAAATCTACTCTCTTAGCAAACCTCCAGTGTTCAAGATGATGATATTAACTATGGTCTTTACACTGGACATTGGGTCTCTAGACTGATTCCATCTACATGACTTCACCTTTGAACTCTGACCAACACATATCTCCCCAACTTCCCACCTCCCCGCCTAGTAACCACTGCTCTGTTTTCTTTTTTTAAAGAAAAGCCTTTCTCACTCACAGTGGTTATTTTAAGACAATTGAATATACACATGTCAGTTCTAAAGACAGAAAAATACAAACTTTTATACAAAGCATTTTTTCTTTTCATATAAAGAAGACAGTGCTAATAAATCTTATTGAATCAAGACCTTGAAAGAAGCAGAAAAATCTGTACAGATCTCAAATACACCCATGAAAAATAAATTACCTTGCTTCTGCTTCATAACACAGTATTGTCATGTTTTCACTTCACTGGAGTACAGCTGGCTTATAGTGTTGGGTCAGTTTTAGGTGCACCTGTTTTCAGCTGACTGTTCTTTGACAGAGATCAAAATACCTGACTCGGAACCCAAACTACAAAATCTCGCCACCCAAGGCAGGGTGGGGAAGCATGTCAGTTTCTGGCCCAGGTGGTTCAGGCCGTGTGTCCAAGAGCTCACCCCTAAGACCCTTGCCATCCCCTGCTCCAGCTGCATGGCTCACCAGAGTGGATGAGACCCTGAAGACGTGCAAACAGGTTTTAACAGCTTTCACCAGCAAATGAGAGCTTGAGTGACAAATGGGGTCTTTAACAAGTGGGTATTTAAGGAGAGATTTTGCTGATTGACACTCTGTAAGGCTCATTCCTACGCACAGAGTTGTTCTTGAGCTTAGCTACACCTAAAGAGAAAGGTAAAACTAACACATGGAAGTGTGTCTCACCTCCGGACCATTTGGTATTCCTATATACTACTGTAAGCTGTTCCTTTATAATACGGATTCCTTAAAAAGAGAGCACCGTATCACGTGGTATATGATGTGCTCCGCTGGAGGTCTGTTTGGGATATAACTTGAGAGACACCAGACAGGAAACACACAGTCCCAAATTTTTCCCTTCCTGAGTCTATCTAAAAATGTCATCGTTAGTCACTTTGCATCAAAAGCACAGGCCTACCCTGGTGGTCCAGTGGTAAAGAATCCCCCTGCTGATGCAGGGGACACAGGTTTGAGCCCTGGTCTGGGAAGAACCTGCATGCCACAGGACAACCAGGCCTGTGCATCGCAATGACTGAGCCAGCGTGCCAGGGTCCATGAGCCACAAGAGAAACCACCGCAAGGAGGACCCGGCACCCTGCAACAAGAGTACCCCCGGCTTGCCACAGCTAGAGAAAGCCCACGCAGCCACAAAGATCAGCACAGCCAAAAATAACAGAAGAAAAACTTTTTAAATTTTTAAAAAATACAGTAAAAGCATAAGCAATAATAATACCTACCAATAATAATAATCCCCCAGCTATCGAGGACCGAGTTCTTTACAGTACTGATCCCTAAACCATTCAACAAAGAGAATGCAGCTATTCTCTTTATTGACTTACAGACTTTATTCTCTTATTGACTCAATTTGCTGCTTAGGAACCTGAGATTCAGGGAGACTGGGCAGCTAATTCAAGGTTATAAAGGAAGTCAAGGCTTTAAAACCGAGTTCTTCCAAATAAAACACCCCATCCATGTGGGTATTGCTCGCAGGACTCACTCCCTCACTAAGCACTGAACCACAGTCACTGGCAGGAAACACTTAAAGAGCTCATTCAATTCTTCCTGAAATGAAGCTTGCAACTTCTAAAGCATCTTCTCTAGTGAAACTTGGGTGAAGAGAAAACAGGAGCCAGGGCTTGAACCCTGCCCAGGACTCACGAATAAACTCAGATTTGCTGTCACAGAAAGGACTGAACGCGCAGGGCTGAAGCACTTGGAGTCTTGCAAAAGGAAATGGGGCCACCACACAGCGGGTGACTGGCCCCAGAACCCAAACACTGTCCACACCAGCTTCATTAAGTTTCAAGTTCTCAAGACAAGGTAAAGCCTGTGCTTTCTCCCATGACATTTGAATTCATGAGACGATAGCTCATTAAGAAAAATGGAATTGATTCACAGTATTATTTCTTTGAAACAACAATATAGAATCTAGAATGCAACTGGGAAATGACACAAAAATAGGATAAGGCATTTCACAGTTTCTACATGGTCTTCGTAGAACCAAATACCGGAGATGGCTGAAAAGGTAAATGAAAACATCACTTACCTGATGGGACCACTCGTATCACCTTCTCCCAGGTTCCGAATGGGAAAGTATGCAGGAAGCAGGAGTAGAAGCCCACATCCGCCTCAGAGGCATTGTAGAAGGTCAGGGTCATGTCGTTAGAGGCCGCGGTTTGATTTGAGAAGTAGACCCTATCAGTGTAGGCCTCTCTTATGATCCCACGGAACATAGGGTTGAAAATGGCCACGGACTCTCTCTCCGTCTTAAGCTTGAACCACTCAATCTGGGTTACACTGTCCGCTAATGGATATACACATTCTAGGCTCATATTCTTAGCAAGCTTAACAGTCGTGTCCCAAGAAATCTCTTCACATGGCGCTGAAAGACACGTCATCATGTGAATTCAATTAGACTGAAACACCAGAGAGATATCAGAAGCTTATTGTAGACCTAGGAAGATAGTATTATAAATATTAATAAATAAATTGGAGTCAGGGTAAAGGCTGGCAGTTTCTACCTAAAAAGGTTTCCACTACAAATTATCAGCATTCGCAACTTGTAGTTTTTCTGAACATGTGAGAAGTTATCTAGACCAACCCAGAACGTCATAAATTCTGAACGTGTCACAGTATAAGACTTGAAAAAGGAGTAAATTCTTTGAATGAAGACATTATCGTTACCTGTGTACACATAAAGAATTGCCAAGAGGAGGCTGAGGTGATCCATCTCTGGAAGCCGTCTGGGAGGCCGGTCTCTAGAAGGACAATTTATAATGTCACCTGCAGAGCCTTGGCACCAGGCACTGCTTCCTTCCTCTCAGATTCTATCAGCAGCGTCTTCTTTATCTGAAGTGTGAACACAGGAAAAAAGGTCTGAGCTTCAAAGTCAGCCTCGCTCGCGCGCAAGGATGGGTAGATTTGAAATTACTTCTCTCTCTCGGGGAAATGGCTTATTTTCAAGCTTTCGTTTTCTACAAAAAAATTCATTCATCAAACAAACATGGTCTGAGTGCATGCTCGGTGCCCAGCTCTGCTCTAGGTGATGAGGATGGAGCAATAAATTAAAAAAAAAAAATCCTTACCAGCATGGACCTTAACCTCTAGTGGGAGGAGACAGAAAATAAAATAAGGAAGTACGGGGTGTAGGGAGGTGGTGATTGTATGAAGGAAAACACAGCGGGGCACTGGATGGGGAAGAGGGGCTGGTGTTCCCCCTGGAAGCAGGGCCAGGGAGTCTACAGAGAACAGGAGTGGGGAGCAGAGTCTGCCTGGAGCGGGGAGGGGCCTGAACTCCACCCAAGTGAGCAGCCCGTGGTCACGACCAGCCCGTCAGCTCTGCCTCTTTGCTGACCTCAGGCATGTGCTCTGGGGGTAAATTAATGGACTGCGGAAGGCCCTTCAGATACCAGAGTATCGTGGCTCTGGTCATATATAAATCCACCGTTGTTGGTTTTTTATTAAACTTAACTTTTTATTTGGAAATAACTGTAAAGTCACGGGAATTTGCAGAAAAAGTACAGAGTGTCTGTGTACCCTTCACCCAATTTCTCCTGATGCTTCTGTCTTGCATGATCCAAGTAGGTGCATCATTGCTCTCTTCCTTCTCTTGTAAAACAGCAATCATCAGTTTCCTAAGAACTTGCTGGGAACATACTACCATGTCAGCAGGAAAATATACTATTGCCCCTGTAACAAGAGACAATAAAGAAGAATCCACCTGACCCCTGATGAAGGGGTTGAAATAAAAGGTGGGTAAAAAATGGAGAAAATGGGGAGCCGGAACCATTAAAGGCACCTTTGCCTGATGCTGACTCTGAGCCTACGTGAGTCCATCCAAAGTTCTCCTTCGCATCAGTATCTAATGTGGGAACTTCAAGTGTGACATCAGAAATGTAATGATAGGGTTTCCCTGGTGGCTCAGGGGTAAAGAGTCTGCCAATGCAGGAGACACAGGTTCAATCCCTGGTCTGGGAAGATCCCACACATGGCAGGGCAAGTAGGCCTGTGTGCCACCACCACTGAGCCTGAACTCTGGAGCCGGGGGCCCAGCTACTGAAGCCCGAGAGCCCAGAGCCCGTGATCTGCAACCGGAGGAGGCACCACGGTGAGCAGCCCGCACACGGCACCGAGAGAGGCACCCCTGCCCGACGCAGCTAGAGAGGAGCCCCTGCCCGCCACAACCAGAGAGGCGCCCCTGCCCGCCGCAACCAGAGAGGCGCCCCTGCCCGCCGCAGCTAGAGGAGCCCCTTCCCGCCACAGCTGGAGGAATCCCAAGCACAGCAGTGAAGACCCAGCACAGCCAAACATAAGAAACAAAATTATAAAAAAAATTATAACGATCATCAGGACAAAACTCTAGCGTGTCCATATAATACTGCACAGTGCTTCCTTATGTCTACAAAGCACTCTGTTTTCCTAATGTGATGAAACAATTTGACAAAAATTTTACTGAGCCCTGTCTCAGGGACCCTGATTAAGTCCTGGAGACACAAGCATGGTCTCTGCCTTCCAGTCACGCATAACACATCACGCCAGACAGATACAAGGAGCAATTTATGATAAAAAACTAAATCATTTCTATTCAAGTCGTTTGATTGAGTTTTACGACATCCCAAAGAGGAACAAATTCATTCTATCACATTTAGGGAAGATTTCATAGGAAAGCGGCACCTCTTTCTGGGCTTTCCCAACTGAATGAGACTTTCCAAGTGGAGAACTGGAAAAAAGGGGGAATTCCCTGGTAGTCCAGTGGCTAGCACTGGACGCGTTCACCAATGAGGCCCAGGTTCAATCCCTGGTCGGGGAACTAAGATTCCACAGACACGGCCAAAGAAAACTGGGAACGATATCATTAAAAAGACAGAGAGAAATGGAAAGAGAAGATAAAGGTGCATAACACTGGGCATTTTCAGGAAATGATGAGACTACAGTCTAGGGGGGCGGGAAGGGACACAGATGAAGTTGGGTCTGGGTCCAAAGGGTCTTAAATGACATCCAGAGAGTAGGCCAGACTTGGCAGCTATTTCACCACTGCTGTTCCAGTGCCAAGCACTATTCTTGGGACGTGCGTCCCATGGCCTGAAGGATCCCAGCTCCAGGAGGAAATGTAAAAAATCACTGCAGCTGGAGCCATTGCGGGGAGATGGAGACAGAAAATGACAAGACATTAGACTGCGCAGAAAGACAGGATGAGGCTGTTTGACCTTGAAGGCCTTCCGATACGATTCTAGGAACAAGTGGAAGCTGTTTGAGGCACTTAAGACACCAAAATTACATGGTCCGCTTTAAATTCTTAGAAAGAGAACCGAGCATCACCCATCTTCCTCTCCACACTCCTAACAAAAAGCTGTTCCTGTTTGGTCATTGGCTTCTCCCACACCACTGGGATATCATGACAGATCCGAGCCATTCCACTGAGAATTATGACAGATTTGGGGGCTGGAGGTGAAGAAGCCTAGTGGGGCCTGAGTAGACCCACGAAGAATCAAGGAAATGATCTACACTTCACATCAGAAAGACCCTCAGGGAACCTCCTCGCCCTGGGAGTGAGGACTGGGGAATGCAGGAGGCTGACCGGGAAAGGGGTGTGCGTAAACAACAACTTGTAGTAACCCCTTCATTCCCAAGGCATCCGCAGCCAACTTACTAACAGGTGAAGAGAGCAGAGGGCACTTGCTTTCTGAAGCGTCTAAACCAAGGGGCCTAGAGGTCACAGATGTGAATTAAAGGTGCAGAAATACACGGGGCTGGAGATAAGGGTCAGCTGCGACACCTTTGCTAGGGATGAGCCCTACTGATCAACATCTAGCTGAAGACAAACAGAAACTGCGCAGGATCTATTTTGTGCTGTGCAGGCAGCCATTTTTTTTTGCATGATTTATGAAGGGATTTGGGCTTGAGGATTTTTCCTAATAGAGCCATCTGTGTAAAAGAGCCCATTCTCGAGGATGGCATTAATCAAGACGTTCCTTGACTTCTCTACAGTGGACTGCATTTCTGCAGACCACAGAAGTGTGACTTCATCACGCCGGGCTGATGCCCGCCAGGTGTCCTGGGCTGGGCGTCCCCCCTTGGCCGTCCTCACAGACCACCCCCCACCTCCTCAGCCACACTGCTCTGCTCTCTGTGAGACATTCTGCTTTTCCAAATGCCGGTGAGACTGGGAGGATCCTGCTCTCTCCTCGGTTCTCCAAGTCCGCCTTCCCAGGCTCCTGCCGAGATTCGTGGTGCGTCTGGGAGCCCACCCCTGCTCCCACCTCCTCCTCCCCGGTCTGGACAACGACCCGCATGCCCGGGAGCCGAGGACCGTGAGACAGAAAGCCTGGGCTAAGCCCTGAGAACAAGGCAGCGGGGTGGGCGGGTCAGGACCGCGTGCGCTCCGTCCTCTCCCCGGTTTTCAAAGTCAGAGCTGACGGGGCCTGTGGCTGGGGTCCTGGCTGCTCAAGAGGCTCCTGATCACAGCCGCTCGGGGGAGCAGCAGGGTCCAGGGGCTGCTCCTGCTTCACCGAGTCTCCTTAAAAGAACCTGGTGGGAACACCAGGGCCCGGTGGCCAGTCACAGACCTCCCCCTGGGACAGGTTCTGCTGCCTCTAAGGGGCCACGGAAACTCGCTTCCGTTCAAGGCAGAGACTTTGCTTTGGGATCCTCCGGAACAAGCCAGCCCTCTCTCCCACCTCTGGAGACAGCTCAGCGGGAACTCAAGACACGCCCGTCTGGCTGTTTCATGCCATCTGAGGAGCTGCAGTGGACACCACGCGGCCTCCAGAGCCCAGAGTGTTAACTCTCCAGACCTTCGCAGAAGTTTGCCAGCCCTTGCCTAGGGTTATTTACACCTGGAGATCAAACCTTTATGACTAAGATATCCTTGTTGAGGCTTTCTTGATGGCAGGTACTAAGTTAAGCCAGAGGGCTTCCCTGGGGGCTCAGTTGATAAAGAATCTGCCTGCAAAGCAGGACACCAGGGTTTGATCCCTGAGTGGGGAAGATCCCCTGGACAAGGAAATGCAACCCACCCCAGCATTCTTGCCTGGAGGATGCCCCTGGACAGAGGAGCCTGGTGGGCTATAGTCCATAGGGTCGCAAAGAGCTGGACATGACTTAGCAACAAAACCACCATCACCAGGTTAAGCCAGGTAGCCCAACGCTGGTAAAAAGGCCCAGTTTTCTTATTCTCAAGATCCAAACTATCGGATCTCCCCAGGAAGACAGAAAAAGGACTCTGAGCGACGCCCTTTTACTAAACTACGCCCGTCATTAAACTCACATGTTCGTGGAAATGGTCGTCCTGGAGTCAGTCACAGCTCTTCCCTGCAGCAACCTGCCCACTTTCCCTGCTGGTCATCCTTCTGGATCCACAGCCCCCTCTCCCTGATCAGTATTAAATTTGAAAGTGTGAGCGCGACCACATCCAGCCTTCATCTGGAAGGTCACCACCAACCCTGAGATGGGAGGGCTCGGCGCGTTCTGCGTCCTCTTCCCGGTGTGCGTCTCGGGTGAGGGCTTCCTGTTTATCAGGGCCTCCTGGCTTCACTCCCTCTTGGTCGAGGCCATCTCCCTACCTCGCTCATCCCCTGAGGGGGCAGATGGGGGGCAGCTGGGGCTTGGTTCGTCCGAGGGCCTCCTGGTCCCACACTCCCTCCACACCAGGGCTCTCTCAGGTCGGAGCTGAAGCTGAATCACTGATATTTCACCCAGGAGGATTCAAACCAATCAACAAGCAGCCCTGCT